CTAAAGTTAAGGTCGAAGTCGTCGCTGTCCTCTGACCATATGTACGAAGCACTAAAATTCGTGTCCCGAAAGCATCCATTGTTTCGGTTTGTGATAGCCCAAAAACGTAATGATGATAATGAGAACGTGAAATATATACGTATTGTAACGGACAAAAATATGGTGACTTTAAACGAGTCGTGTCTTAAGGATTGGGTATCTGTCTGGCAGAAAGAAGTGCAAACAAAGTTTGATTGCGAGAGTGGTCCGTTGTGGAAAGCAACAGCTTTGAAGGAAAGGTATGATGCCACCCAACAAGAGTATCACAATACTCTTTTGTTTACGTTTTATCATGGGACCGTCGATGGCATGTCTCTTTTAACACTAGCACAGGAATTCGTACAATGCTTGGAGAAACTTTCGAAAGGAGTATTAGGTCCTCAAGATGATCAGAAGACGGGCATTATGCCAGGAGTTATGACTTTACTGGCGTCGAGGCAATTTTCACACTATAGAGTGTTGCAGTGGTTATTGCCAGAGTATTTATTGCTTCGTTTGGTGATGTTTGCGATGCGTATCAACCTTGGATTTGCTGCCAGGAATCCAGTTCTTTCACAACATTCAGAAGAGATTAACTTTGATAAGATTGAAACTGGCAGGAAAGATATGATTAAAATTATCCCCCGCGAGTTAAGTCTCGTTGATACGCAGAAATTAATAACATTATCTCGGCGGAATTTTTGCACAGTGTATGGAGCAATACTAGCGTGTTGTCATCTTGCTGTTGCGAAACTTGTTTCAAACAAACAAAAGGACAGCGTAAAGTTCCAATGGTATTGTCCAGTGAATGTTAGAGATCAATGTGAACCGAAGGTGCAAAAAGATGATTTAGGATTTTATACGACAATAATGATGGAAAATGCCAATGTGCCGAATATAAGCTTAGCAAACCTTACAGAGTTTTGGAAGTTTGCGAAAGAATGCACCCTGGTGGTTCACGAAGGAATCAGAAAAGGCCGACATCTTATGTCGCTGTATCTTTTACCAATTTCGGATCTGATTGATCCCAACGAGTTTGTTTCGGAATTTCTTCTCCACTCGAAGATGAGACGACCAGGTTTGATGTCACCTGTGCATTCCCTGACTAACCTAGGAAAGATTGACTGGACGAAGGAAAAGGACAATACATACGAGATCGAGAGTGCTTTCGGCGGTTCTGGAGCGTATCAAAATGGGGCTACGTTTACAAATCATATGGCGACGTTTAATGGTGTATTCACTTGGTCTACTTCGTATGTGACCTCAAGTGTGACTGAAGAAACGGCAGAAAAATATGTTAATCTGGTTTTTGAAATCCTACTTAATGTTCTTTCATCAAGTGATGAGAACTGATCGGGACGAGATATAGATCTCAAACGGTTAAATCTGTTAAATAGCTTAATATTGTAATATCCAAACGCAGGATCTTAGCGTGCGGCAAAAAAACTTGGTAGAAAAATGGTAATTTGTGTGTAACACTGACCGATTCATGCACGCATGTACTGGCGGATAAAAATCGAATATATCAAATGTATAAATAAAAGGCCTCAATTTTACAGTTTCTTTTTTTGTATCCTGCTTTCTTTACCGCATATTTGCATGAATGCAGGGAATTCTCGAGCGCACGGCAACTATTCAACAATCAACATGAACATCCGGTGAAAATAACACGCGTGAAAATACGCAGTTAAAACGTCGTGTGCAGGCTCTGGAAACTTGCTTTCATCGTCAGTCAAGTTACGTTCAGCCTCAGCTCGGCAAGTAATTGATCTTCCGTGCGACAGGCCGTAAGCACTACCAGACCAGTGGCCGATTTAGTGTCAATAAAAAAACATAACAGCCCACATTTGGATACATTAACACAAAGCCCTTAAAATGAACCCATTGACACATTAGCGTCATTATTCAGTAATTCATTTTGATTAATTCCGGAACGCTATATTGGGCTTAAATATAATGCAAAAATGCAACTTCCCAACATAGTCCAAGCGCATGGCGAATTCAGTCCCTTGTCCCCACATTTTGGGTGCTTGATGTGCGCTTTTTTGTGCAATATCTATATATTTACTATAATACGGTTTATTAAACATGAATTATTTTGAAGAGTTATAGTAGCGTGATGAAAAATGTTTTGACCTAACTTTTTCTGGCTTGTCATTATCGATTGATGAGGGGCCATCACCTATTTTGATTGAATCTGTCACTAATTTCACTGATCAGCCGTTCATTCACGCATCTACATACTTCTGAGGTCTGAACCCGGCCTGCAATTCATTATTTTATACAAATAGCCAGACGAATATCGGCGATTTTTTCTTTCTGAACGATTGCCTTGGCACTCGCTGACACTGAACTATCTGTAAAAGTTACTTTTGGTACTGTTTCGTTGCTTGTATTTTGACTCACCTCGGTATGTAAACATGAATATATTAATTTACACCTCTCCCTCCAAGCAATCTACAGGTCAACAAAATTGGCCTAATACTGATAGGGCGTGTTTTTCTCCAGGGGCTTGGCACACGAGTTAGGATCGGGATATGATATTTACCGACTTTCATAGAGAAGTTATACTGCAGTGCCCAGTTATCAATATAAATTATTAGGTTTTAATGCCATAATATGATATAAATAAAATGGCTATATGTAGGATTGTTGTGAGCCATAGACGAGGGTGATTTCACCAGGCACCGCCACCCTGGATGATGACGAGCGGAAATCCCCTATAGTTGTTTGGAAATAGTCTGAGGATGACCAACCCTAATTAAACTAAATATTCATAAAAATTTACTCGAGTTTGCTGCTGTTTCCAGCTGAGTAATAAACAGCCAGGAGGTATTTGTCCCCTTTCTTGTTTCTAACACTCTAAAGAGCGCGAAATTCAATCTTCGATATGCAATTGAATGAATTAACTGGAGATACACATTTTTGTACAAAAACGATAGAATGAAAGAAGTACAGAAGTTATACACGAAATGGAGGAATAGCTCGGTTTCATCTGCCGTCTTCTGTTTGCATGGCTAATTTTCGTTCTAAGATTAGCTGTACTTTTTCGGCTAATACCAGGCGCGGGTAGAGAGTCCAGACTGATATGATCATGCGATTGGCGCGAAATATCCAGCAACGAGCCAAAATATTCGTTTGGTGGCCAGGACTTAGTGCACAAATTAAAAGTATGGTTGAAAATTTTACACCTTTCAGCAAGTACAGACAACAGCATGCAGAACCATTGATCCTAACGCCACTCCCTGCAAGACCATGGCAACTGATCGGAACAGACTTGTTTATCCTAGAAAAGGTGACCTACCTACTAGTGGTAGATTATTATTCTCGATATGTTGAACCTGTGGCACTAACCAAAGATACAAGTTCAACGAAGATATACAAGCTTTAAAAACTATCTTCGTCAGGCACGGTATTCCGGAGTATCCGGACGAAGTACGTTCCAACAATACCACAGTGACGAGTTCGCCCAGTTTGCAAAAGAATGGGGATAGTACCAGTAGTTCTCGCTATCGTCAAGCGAATGGAGAGTAGAACGGGCAGTAAGGACAGTGAAAAATATCTTAAAGAAGGAAAAAGATCCCGCAAAAGCAATGTTAGCATATAGATCAACACCATTAGCAAGCGGATGATCAACACCATTAGCAAGGGAAAGTATATCTTGCAAGATTCGCACTGACATATCGAATGATCAAGCATTACAAGAATGCAATTTAAAGACGCTGCAAGAGCGCAGGGATTATATGTGTATTGACCTTATTAAGAATATGTCACTACAATCCCATAAGCTTCATGTATTGCTCCCTAAAAAATGTTCGGAGGTGAGAGGCAAGGAAACTAGAACAAACCCAAAGAAACTCTACAATTTCTCATATAAAACTGAAAGATTCAGTCGTAGTCGACTAGTAAACGTAATTAATAGATATGATAGTAGTTTAAATTTGTAAACATTATGAACTCATTTTGTACTTTCTTAATTCGAAGAAGTATATAAATCAACTAATTCAGGTTTATTATTATTTCGATGATCACTCGATAGTATATATGTATATCTTAACTGTTATAAAGTTTTATTAGTATAATGTTTCACACTCCAGGCATATTTTTTAACATTAATACATAATTCTTAAAAGTGTAAACGCATCAATAATTTACCGTAACTGCTATTAATATGTGTAACAAAGACCATTTACCATTTATCATTCGCCAACAGAACTTCTCATGGGGAGAAAGATAAAATCAACAATATGAAATAATGGTATAGCAGCTCACACCGCAACTACCAAACCAGGAACTTTTTAAAGCAAAGGAAGAAGAACATAGATTGAAAGTTGAAACAAAAGAAGAATTTTGATAATCGCCATAGTGCTCAAACAATAAAGCCTTTGACATCAGGAACAACAGTTTATGCAACAGACATGGACTGTACAGGAAGTCAGGAACAGTAATCAGAACATCCAACAAACCAAGATCATATCTGGTTGATACTCCTACAACGGTCATAAGAAGGAACAGCTAGAGCACAACTGCGCAGTATTCCAAATGACACCATAGTTCAGCACGCTGACAAGAAACAAGAGAAACAGGAAACTCGCCTTCGTCAACGAATGGGAACAACAGACCGAAAATAATAAAAACATTATCTTTAAAAGCTAGAGAGTACTTTGGAGTTTGGACTGTAATAATTAAGTACCATATGGCATATAAGCTATAAAGACATAACAATACAGTCGCTGATATTATATTGACATCGCGAAAAAAAGGGAGATGTAGTGTGACTTAGTAAATATTAACCATTACTCAGCACTAATATTAACTGATTATTGTTCGAGACATAATTGCACAATCACCGGAAATCATTAGTGCACATGAATTACTAAAATCTTTCCCGAGTTTTTTGAGTAACTTGATTACCTGAGCTTATAAATTGCGCGTAAATGCCAAATTTAGTATAACAAGCAGCAGCTATTTTGACCGAAGCTTCTGGTAATGATTTTCAAACGCGAATTTGAAAATTTTGTTGTTGTTTTTTTGGTCTTTCTGCTTAGCAGGAAGCGCTATTCAGTGCTTTTATACAACTATCACATGTCAGGAGGCCATGCAGAGCAGACGCAGTTAGTCAGCGGACAACTGTGTTTAGGAGCATCATAGCCTATAAAGAAAATGTGTTTCGCCAGTGGTATGGCAACAAAAGTCACTGACTTTAAAGATGAAACACTGCTTTTGGTTTTCACCCTTTTTCTGATCATCTTGATATCACGGATAGGCTATTTTATCGTAAACCGACTAATAAACTCATCAAAAGGTCAACAACAAAGAAAGAATGAAAGAAAAATGGATTTTTTCGAGTCGGTTTTGGACGAATTTCATGCACAAGGTGGTGCGAACATGTGTTTTGGCCTAAAGTTGAGGTCGAAGTCGTCGCTGTCCTTTGACCATGTGTACGAAGCACTAAAATTCGTGTCCCGAAAGCATCCATTGTTTCGGTTTGTGATAGCGCAAAAACGTAATGATGATAATGAGAACGTGAAATATATACGTATTGTAACGGACAAAAATATGGTGACTTTAAACGAGTCGTGTCTTAAGGATTGGGTATCTGTCTGGCAGAAAGAAGTGCAAACAAAGTTTGATTGCGAGAGTGGTCCGTTGTGGAAAGCAACAGCTTTGAAGGAAAGGTATGATGCCACCCAACAAGAGTATCACAATACTCTTTTGTTTACGTTTTATCATGGGACCGTCGATGGCATGTCTCTTTTAACACTAGCACAGGAATTCGTACAATGCTTGGAGAAACTTTCGAAAGGAGTATTAGGTCCTCAAGATGATCAGAAGACGGGCATTATGCCAGGAGTTATGACTTTACTGGCGTCGAGGCAATTTTCACACTATAGGGTGTTGCAGTGGTTATTGCCAGAGTATTTATTGCTTCGTTTGGTGATGTTTGCGATGCGTATCAACCTTGGATTTGCTGCCAGGAATCCAGTTCTTTCACAACATTCAGAAGAGATTAACTTTGATAAGATTGAAACTGGCAGGAAAGATATGATTAAAATTATCCCCCGCGAGTTAAGTCTCGTTGATACGCAGAAATTAATAACATTATCTCGGCGGAATTTTTGCACAGTGTATGGAGCAATACTAGCGTGTTGTCATCTTGCTGTTGCGAAACTTGTTCCAAACAAACAAAAGAACAGCGTAAAGTTCCAATGGTATTGTCCAGTGAATGTTAGAGATCAATGTGAACCGAAGGTGCAAAAAGATGATTTAGGATTTTATACGACAATAATGATGGAAAATGCCAATGTGCCGAATATAAGCTTAGCAAACCTTACAGAGTTTTGGAAGTTTGCGAAAGAATGCACCCTGGTGGTTCACGAAGGAATCAGAAAAGGCCGACATCTTATGTCGCTGTATCTTTTACCAATTTCGGATCTGATTGATCCCAACGAGTTTGTTTCGGAATTTCTTCTCCACTCGAAGATGAGACGGCCAGGTTTGATGTCACCTGTGCATTCCCTGACTAACCTAGGAAAGATTGACTGGGCGAAGGAAAAGGACGATACATACGAGATCGAGAGTGCTTTCGGTGGTTCTGGAGCGTATGAAAATGGGGCCACGTTTACAAATCATATGGCGACGTTTAATGGTGTATTCACTTGGTCTACTTCGTATGTGACCTCAAGTGTGACTGAAGAAACGGCAGAAAAATATGTTAATCTTGTTTTTGAAATCCTACTTAATGTTCTTTCATCAAGTGATGAAAACTGATCGAGACGAGATATAGGTCTCGAAGGGTTTAATCAGTCTGTTAAATAGCTTAATATTGTAATATCCAAAGGCAGGATCTTAGCGTGGCAAAAAAACTTGGTAGAAAAATGGTAATTTGTGTGTAACATTGACCGATTGACGCATGCATGTATTGGTGAATAAAAATCGAATATATCAAATGTATAAATAAAAGGCCTCAATCTTACAGTTTCTTTTTTTGTATCCTGCTTTCTTTACCGCATATTTGCATGAATGCAAGGGATTCTCGAGCGCACGGCAACTATTCAACAATTAACATGAACATCCGGTGAAAATAACATGCGTGAAAATACGCGATTAAAACGTCGTGTGCACTGCAGGCTCTGGAAATTTGCTTTCATCGTCAGTCAAGTGACGCTCAGCCTCAGCTCGGCAAGTAATTGCTCTTCCGTGCGACAGGCCCCAAGCTCTACCAGTTGCGGATTTAGTGTCAATAAAAAAAAACATGACAGGCAACATTTGGATACATTAACATTGTATAAAGCCCTTAAGTTAAGATTAATCTATTGGTAAATACATTAGCGTCATTATTCAGTAATTCATTTTGATTCTGGATCGCCATATTGGGATTAAATATAATGCAAAAATGCAACTTCCCAACATAGTCTAAGCGCATGTCGAATTCAGCATCTAGTCCCCACATTTTGGGTGCTTGATGTGCGCGTTTTTTATGCAATGTCTATAAAGAATATATATATTTACTGTAATACGGTTTATTAAACATTGAATTATTATGAAGAGTTAGAGTAGTCAGTAGCGTGATGAAAAATGTTTTGACCTAACTTTGTCTGGCTTGTCATTATCAATAGCTAATCCATTTGAATTTGTCACTGATTTCACTGATCATCTGTTCCTTCACGCATCTCCATACTTCTGAGGTCTGAACTCGGCCTGCACTTCATACAAACATTTTATACAAATAGCCAGACAAATATCGGCGATTTTTATTAGGATTTAATGCCATAATATGATATAAATAAGATGGCTATATGTAGGGTTGTTGTGAGCAATGGACCTGGGTGCTTTCACCAGGCACCACCACCCTGGATGATGAAGAGCGGAAATCCCCTATAGTTGTTTGGAAATAGTCTGAGGATGACCAACCTTAATTAAACTAAATATTCATAAAAATTCACTCGAGTTTGCTGCTGTTTCCAGCTGAGTAATAATCAGCCAGGAGGCATTTGTCCGCTTTCTTTTTTCTAACAGTCTAAAGAGCGCGAAATTCAATTTTCGATAGGCAATTGAATAAATTAACTGGAAATGTTTGCATGGCTAATTTTCGTTCTAGATTAGCTGTATTTTGGCTATACCAGGCGCGGGTCCAGAGTCCAGACTGATGCGACTGGCGCGAATGCATCAGTCAAAACATCAAAATTAAATGATGAAATCGGAAAAAATAAGACTAGTCTACGGAAAGGCCTTGAGTAAAACACGTTATCTCCGAGCCGGTGCGGAGCACCGTGCCAGGGTACTAATCCCGCTCGGATATTTGCGCCCACGTACGGCCCCACGATGTGCAAATGCGAAATCAAAGTCGTCCGCCATTGTGCAACAGACCTCACGCCATGGGCGGTCTTCTACGTTATGCGCATGCGCCAGTGTGAACTACTACACAAAGATTACTAAGCTCGTGATTGGTTGAGACAAAAAATTGTATTTATACAACTGTCATCTCGCAAACTTTTGATGAAATTTATATATTTATATTTTCATAACTATGGAATATATATATATATATATATATATATATATCCTTTAATTACTTTATAGGGAAACTCGGATGTGGTCAGGACTTTTTAGGGTCTAACAAAAAAAAAAAGCAAGACCAAGACACGGCTCGTGCTTTTTAACGCTTTCCGAAAGTCTCGCAATATCCCGCGCGTGCAGTATCATGCTATCCTGCACCGAAAACCATGCATTTGGTGTTCCTTTAATAAAAAACAGTGAAAGTCGATTATAGCGGAATGTTTTATATTCGACCTTGGTAAGGTTGAGTATATCCGATTAAGGTATATTCGACATTGGTAAGATTGCATATGCCAAAATATGGACCCCTATATAGTGGTGCTCAGTATATGGTTCAAAATATGCTGGAATGTGCTTAACATAATTATTACTAATGATATCTAAATAATGCAAATGTTGCTGTACGTGTGTTGGTACATCTCATAGGCAGAGAAATACACATATTAACTGGCTACTTCGATAAATCCCGCTCCTTTAAAACTCTTCTTAATATTTTCCCACTCGCTGATTTTGGGATCTCGTCAATATATTCTATGCCACCACGAAGCTTTTTGTATGGAGCGAGGTTCTTCTCCATATGACCGTATACTTCTTCTTCGCTTACATCTTTTGCGACAACGAAAGCTTTTGGAAGTTCGCCGCATTTTTCATCAGGGATACCGATAACGGCGGCATCTTGGATTTTTGGATGGGCAATTAACGTCGCTTCGAGCTCCCCTGGTGCAACCTTTGAAATTTTTTGAAATATATGCGATGAATTTCATGCTGAACGAACGATGTGTACATAATAATGTTTTCAATAATCTTAGCAAACAGTGGCCGAGTAGTATGAAAAACAAACTTGAATCGTTCTTAAGGGTGCTGTATATAGTTCCTCTTAAAATGTTCCCCTAAAAACGTTTATAACTGTGAAAGCGGTAGGAATTTGTTTGATCAAAAAGCTCCCACTCGGACCCACCGCCTCGAAAACTGTCATAATTAAAGGCAAGAAAACCTCCCATTTGACATTTGCTTATAGTCATGCTCCCTCTTTGAAATAATTATATCTGGAATGCTACTTTTAATATCGAAGAAGAAAGAATAGCGTGATATTAATTTATTCTGTAACATGCATACCTGGTAACCTTTGTATTTGATTAGTTCTTTATAACGATCAACGATATAGAAAAACTCATCAGAATCATAGTATCCGATATCACCAGAACGGAACCAGCCATCAGAGTCGATGGCTTCGCTTGTTGCTTCAGGATTGTTGTAGTATCCTAGATCGTTTATCAACAGATTGCATATAGCGACCACATCTTGCTATAATGGCTTGTATTGGGGCAAGACAAGCAATGCAGTCAGATGCATACCATCCGGAATCATACAGGCAGCTAATAGCGGAATTTTGCAAACACGACGTAACGCCTATTGGCAGACGCCGTGAAAATGGCGTAGTCACAACCACAGATGGACATATCACACAATTTTTATGACGTCTTACATATATTCACTACGATTACTGAGCCCATGCAAGCCTTTATATTCTGCACTGTTTATATTTTGCAACTCCCACTTAAAAAAAAAACAAACACTCGCCTTTCATTACTTGGGGACCTCGGATGCAGATTTCACCTTTCTTATTTGCGCCCACTGCTTCTCCAGTGTATAAATCGGTCACCTGAGTAATGCATACTATATATCGTCATCTTGCATACAATTTATGAAAATCTTATAGTACTATATACACAAAGTGCAACAGGAAGGTGAATAAGCTCCTCTTTCTATATATATGGTTATCAAGATATGCATGTGTACATAAAATGACTTATTTATATTGTAAAACATGGCTCAATGTATGGAGGGCAATCCTTTATATACCCGGCCCTGTTGAATTGATATTGATATCGACAACTATGTTTTAAAAAACTATTATTGAATATCTTAGAGATCAATACCTAAAAAAAATTGATCAATATATGTTTGAACACTTTTCGAAATAACCAAAAAGCTGAAGCACGACAATATATATCTTACAATACCTTAACTTCAGTACTGGGGACAACGACTCCAGAAGATCCTCCTCGCCAAGCTTTTGTTGAGGAAATGGTTACGACAGGACTGGTCTCTGTCAGGCCGTAACCTGATCAATAGAATATAATGATGGATTTTATAGTTAATTCAAATATTAAAAGCATTTTGTTCCTATGTATACCGCCTATAACGGTGTTCCGAATTGAAAGTCAGTCTTAGGCATGCAGGAACGAAGCACAATATCGTTTCACATCACCCCTCTTCAAAAAGTTGATGAAGTGTCACGGTTTTGCGAACCGTTTTGGGGCTGAGAAGAAAGTCTAATAGAAATTCTTCTATCAAGTCGCCGAGTCTTTTATCCTCCATCGTATAAAAAGGGTAGCTATATTGGCATTCTCACGCTTTCATGTCGCGCAACATGGAATCATGAATCCAAGATATGCATGCATGCTAACAAAATTAACAGTGATTATATATATGTACGAATGTAACAATGTGACATGGAACATATTCTATATAAATATAATTTTGTCAATGTTTCCTTTTTACCAATATTAAAGTTTTATAAATAATAGTCTTTACCTTGGTTTATTCGAATTCTCCTTCTTTCGTGACGCTCATGGAAAATATTTTCAACGTCCTCTGAGAGAGGTGCGCCTCCGCACGTAATATAATTTAAAGACGATATATCGTAACTGTCAACAATAGGGTCTTTGGCGAAAAATAAAACCAGAGAAGGAACTGTAGCCAGTTTCGTAATCTAAAGAAGACAGTAAAAAAGTTAAGTAAGAAATCTCTATAGAAAGTAGAAAAAATTGAGCAACCCCGAGCACAGTTTTTTGCGTCCGGACCTCGCAGCCGGTAACTAACATATAATTATATTTCTTTTTTACCTATGTAGCTAGGAAGTTTTAACTAGGAAGCAATCTGATTATCTGAGAAATCATTATATTATATATATCAACATGAAATCTTAAATACAAATTTGCTTTATATTTCTAAGGGTGATTGCCGCCTCGTTGAGTGGCCATTCACATTCATACTCCACTCCCACTCACACGTCGTTTCCAATTGAGTGCACTCTCATGCACTGCATGGAATCGCACTCAAGTGTCACTGTGAGGGAGCTTTTAGAATACAGGCGATAGACAGTAAAAACGCCTGCTGAATAGCAAAAATGGCACCGCATCTTTATAAACATTGAGAACACTTTTTTCAGTCTCTTAAAATAATCGAGTGTCTAAATAATTAAAATTACACCAAAAAATAAACAAGAGTTATCGTAGAGATGTTTTAGCCTGCTTCGTATAAAAATTTATTACTGAAAAAAGATGAGTGAGAAAAGTTTTTATTATCGCGGTGTTTTCCTCATTAAAACATCTTATTGATTAGGAATTAGTAAGTTCTATTTTCCCGTGATTAAGGAAGTTTCACTGTTTAATTCCATTTCGTCTAAGGAAACATTGAGACTGTCGTAAAAACAGAACTCACTATTCCCCTCTCTTATAAATTCTCATAATGCTTATAAAAATGCACATAAACTCACCTTGAAATTTTGCAGTGTCTCTAGAACCACCTTTGGTTCTGCTTGTGGCAAACTTATTACAGTCGCCCCAGCGTAAAGGGAAGGACCTAAAACAATATTAAATCCCAGCAAGTGGAAAAACGGTGCAAGACCAAATATGTTGTCATCAGAAGTGATATCGTAACACCCTGGCGTGTCAACCAGTTGCTGTATGTTCACAGATAGGTTGAAATGAGTTAACATAACGCCTTTTGGTAAGCCTGTGGTGCCACTAGAATATGGTAATACCGCCACGTCTTCTTTTGGGTCGATCACAACATCGTTTGGAAATGCTTTCCCATCATCTTCAAAAAGCTTAGAGATTGGTCTACAGCCCTCCGCCTCACCAACTACAATCACTTCTTTTAATCCACACTGCTTTGCTGCTTCTTTTGCAGTAGGGGAAAAGGCAGGAACCGTGAAAATATATTGAGCTTTTGTGTCTTTCAACTGGTAGTTCAACTCAGGGACGGTTGCCATACTAGATATTAACGTGCATATACCACCCAGAGATAATACAGACAGATACAAAATAGGATATTCTGCAATATTATGACAAAATAGAGCACACACATCTCCTTTCTTGAAGCCAAGCTTTGTCAACGCTGAGCCCAATTTAATTACCATTTCTTGCAGTTGTGGGTAAGTGTATTGCTTTCCAGTGATTCCATCAATCTGAAGGTAAAGAACACTATTTGTTTGACGTATTGCTCAGCCTATAGCTTCTATCGAGTGTCCTGCATGTACTTATAAGTACGACATAAAATCCGCAAAGAGGTCTATAAATGGGGCGGGAAATGCATGATGATTATTCTGCTCTTCGAAGCATAGCAAAATGATACTGTATTATACATTAAAGTACAAGTATATGTTTTCACATGCCTAACACGTGTCTTAAGAAACTTATTAGGATGTGAAACTATATAACCCTAATTAAGGTGTCACAGTTTTGGACACCTCGCCTTTTCTTGCTAATCATTTCATTAAGCAGGTTTGAGTTGGTGTATTGAGTTTGAGTTTGTTTGAATGTATATGTTATATAAAATATATTAGTCCCGCCCTACAATGGACGGTCTTTCAGAAAACCGTGAACTCAATTTCTTTATCTCGGCTGTGAAACGTGAAGACCAGTAATCTCGCGTCATCATTATACGCAAGCGCAAATGCGCAATGCTATTAAACGTACAGACCACTGAAGTACGGATCGCGCATGTTACTTTTTTGATCGAAGTAGCAAGAAGGAAAAAATAATCATAGTTGGAGAGAGCATACTTGATAAGTGCAAATGCAAAGTTTGGCTACGAAATTTTGTAAAATATGGAAAATATAGCAAATGTGAAGTTGGCATACATTAGTATTACGTGCAGAAATGTGTAACTGAATTAGTTAAAAACTTCCGGCTGTAATACAAAAGTATATACAAAATTCGTCAACTTCGCAAGGCTATATTTTCCGTAGTTTACAACAATTCGGAGCCAAAATTGGCATTTTTACTAATTTTAGTAAACACTTTCAGAAAATTTTCTTTTTATTCCCGAGTTAAGAAATTAGTCTAAAGCGCAAGTCGTCCATTGGTTTTACTAAACGTCCTGCTCCAGATAATAAATCGAGTTCACCGGCAGGATTGTGATAAATAATGCAGCACATACCATTGCTGGTTTGCTGCCGAATGAATCGAATTTATCGAAAAGGAATGCTGGAAAGGATTTATCTTCAACAATATTCTGCAAATCAGGACTCTTGCTTCTAACGATATTCGAATGGATGCTGGATGCACATCTTATTGTTTGATTTCTACTGAAACAAAAAATACACAGCAGTTCATATGCATACAACCGCAGACGGAAAGAGTTTGAAAGACCTTTTAATTTAAAGGAAAATTATAAATCATGATGCAGGAGAATCCGAACTCATCGCCCGTGCCTGCAGAGTTGGCCTTTTTTTCGATAAATATAGCATTTAATAGTTGGTATTAGCTAATAATCAAATATTAATCACGGAGAAATTAATCATTCCCTAATTTTTGTACTTGCATGGTATTAACAATTATAAGTATCATATTATATATCAACAGATGTTAAAGTTTGAATTACCAAAATGTGAGAAATCGATGCCGATACGGCTGCATACCCATGGTATCGCTGCAGCGGGTACTGAAATAATTAGTATTTAGTATTTACCTACACTACAGTCCTTGGTCTAGCCAAGCGCTTGACGTCCTATGATCTCTCCATTACGTCCGCTCCATGCACCCGCGCCGGAATAAAACCTAACGCGAGTTTGGAAGGTGTTGGGGGGTGTATCTTTATAAATATATCACGTTCTATATGACGAACGTATATACATGATTGATGAGTATGCAAAGCCCAATTGATGAGTACGCCCTCCCAATTATCGCAAAGTATAGTTTCGGTGTTATAACTTTCTTGACGCAATGAAATGATCTTCGCTGAACTCGCTAGTGTTAAATGCAATTTACCATTTATATTCGCCTCGACAATTTATTGTGATGATACAGGCCTAACAATACAATCACGAGAGTTCGAATTTCGACTATATATACCTGTGCAGGATCAAACCATTGGCATGACGATAAAATCGCGTTCGATTCTGGATCGTCGGCGCTCTGCAATGCGAAGACCATAACCTTGTTTGTCGCGAAATAAACATGGAAGCCATGATTAATATTTCTGATTTCTTTGATTTACAGCAGTCTATCTATATTGTCAGGAAACATTCGAGACATGCCTTGGTGGAAGAACAAAGTCTTGATGACAACAAGTTTCAAACTTGACTGATATTAAATGGCGTGCATGGCATGGCGTATTAACGAAGCATATTGCTCAAACGCTTTTGGTTTGGTGTAAAATTACAAAATAATTACTGCGTCGCGCATTGCGCGAACGCAGTCTACCGTCGGCGTTTTTTTTTTCGTGTTTTTTACTTTTCGACCCGGTCTTCCTGGCCGCGCAGGCCAACTAAGATACTCGTATTTTGAACTCTCCTGATTTCGTATCAAAATATTTTCGTGCTAAACACACTTCAAATAGGAATCTTTATGGTATGATGGTAATAAGCCAATGACAGTAATTTGGAGTCCATCGAAATAATTTTCATTTTTCAGTAAATTTGTCAGTTTTATAATTTATTGGAACCAGTCAACCTAAGGACAATTATATCCATGGTGTAAAACCTTACTATGTCATGACAGAGTATTGTGTTACGGTATGACACTCCTTTAATGAGAATATATCAAATATTAATTATTAACGTAAGAAAGAAACGTCAATTCTAATGGATATGATACCTTATATATTCACCGACAGAAGTTTTTTCAAGAGTATTTTTTAAGAACTGGGATAAGGTTATGACTCTATTGCTAAACAAATTTGTCAGTTTTTCTTATTATATTTTGTGAGCATTTAAAGTAAGACGGACATCTTCAACCCAGATCGTCTTGGTCCATATCTACCGTTTGTTTAGCATGTTGGCTATAGAGTATGGAATCGTGAAGGAAAGACAGCTCTGCTTCCTCGTCTGCTTCCTCCTCAATTTCAGAAGTTCCTTATACAGGTTTATTGCAGTAGTTGCAGTACTGATTTGTAAGAAAAGATTAAATTGATTAGTTGGAAACTACTTTATCTGTCAACTAGACTAAACAGTATGGACTTTTCGATATGCACAAGACAAAGAAAGAGACTGAAAAAATCTTAATTATGAACATTGTGTCAACGGACATCATCAATAAGTCGTTAACAATATATGTATTGAACTCCCCTCATACCAGTTAGAAAACAACGCAATTAATGTTGTTATCTTTTCCGTGTATTTAATAATCAATAATGCAAAATTCTATAGTATTGGAAATACTATAATGCAGTTCTGTGACAGTGTGACTGTAAGATTCCTTAATTCAGTTCTTTTGTTTATGCAAAATTTGCGAAAAATTTAATTTTGGATACGGCTGGACTCATACTTTTGGCACCCAGTGTATATCGTAGCAGCGCACACAAAAAGACAAACATGTGGTAATTATACATTCTATTCTCTTTATAGTGACGCTGTCGCACGCATACCGCGTTGTCATGGCGATATCGTATATCTATATAAAATGCATTGCTTTTAAGGTCTGTTCTAATAATAATTTGCAATTTGTATAGAAAACGTAATGTATTTAGCCACGTCGTCAGTATAAAAGAATATACAAAATCCTGCCTGACAAAGAAAAGATACATCAGTATTCTGTTGTTTCAAATTCACTACTAAGATTGGAGTAGTAAGAAAAGGAATACATATATATATCTTATAGTTTACTGTATATTGTTGGAAAAGGTTTGTAAAAACATTTCAATCACTTAATACGTTATAGATATCATATCAGTAATGTTATATATAGAATAGTTTAAATATAGCTGTACAGCTGTAAAGTAAGCTAGCTATATATAACGTATACAGTATAATGCGTGGGGCAAAATACGTTTCCACAACCCCTCGTGGCCTGCCGAGCAAGCACATGCATGCACGTTTATACGGCGTGAAGTGGATTCGACTGCATGGAATAAATGCCTTTTGATTACCAATTTTCACTCTTCTATATTTCATTTATCGACAACTAAAGTTCCGTTTCCGTTTCATGAAATACTATATAGGCTGCTAAATGGGATTACATACTATAAATGCTACTAAACGGAATTCCCGTACAGGATAGCACCATCCTTGTACGCGAGATGTTATAGAATACAAACCGCAGTCATTGTATTGTCCCCCATCCTGCACGATTCTACGTGCATGCAACAAACCCTCCCTTAGTTTATTTCCCTGCAATTCCATTTTTTCTTTGGAGAAATAATTAGCAGAGATACGTTAACCAGCATTCTTATAATGCAGGTGAAAAGGAACTGGGAAGACTCGACATGACAATTTGGTACAAATGGTGGAACTGGATGAGGGATGTGATGAATTTTTTTGGTGAGATTTTAATAGTTGTGGCAATTTTGAGAACTTTCTCACGATGTGCTCTGATGTGCTTACATTACTTCTTTCCTATATTTGAAAAAAATATTCAGGTCTTTCACGGAGGACAATGAAAATAATTTTTCTTGGCTTGGACAACGCTGGCAAGACGACGTTATTCCGAATGTTGAGAGACAACATGATGATTCAGCACACTCCCACATTACATCCAGGTAATATTTAACTCTTCTACGTAATTAAATTCTAACTATAATTAAATTATATTGAAGGCTTTAGTCAATAGACTACAGAAACTATGATAATACTGTAGGTCTGTGACAACTGGTAAAAAAGTAGTTTCTCCATGCTTATTTTGAATAATCATACTAGGAATAATCATTATTCGGTTGACCATTTTAACCGAGAGTCGCACTGGAAATTTTTTTCAAAATCTATATTATGGAAATAGGATGAAATAGTGTGAAGTTTATATAATATTCATTCGATTCTAATTGCCATTTCCGTAATACGCGTATTTCCATATAGTATGGATTTAGAAAAAAAGAATTTCGAAATCCAGTGTCGCGCTGTTAGTGAAAGCCGGATCGCGCGGTCGATTTTGGTCGGTAAATTTCATCATCAGTGGCGTAGCTTTTGCATTGATAATTGGCAGGGCCAACATTCATATATTCACTGATGTTAACAGACTATACAGACAATTTTTAAATCAATTCCAAAAGGAATTGATCACGTGCAACATGAGTATATGAATATATGAATATTTCTCTCTTTCCAGCAAATTTAAGAGATTTCAATTTGATAGTTTTTAGCAGTACTCATAACTGCAAATACAATGGTTTAGATCATTAAATTTAGATCATTAAATTTAGATCATTAAATGTGTATTTGTGTAATAGCTCATTATTTTGGTACAATAAATTTGATTAGATAGAGATGAGTTTTGTCTTGGTGAAACAACTTTTTTGGCCGTTGATGTTGGAGGCCACGAACAAGGTACGCAGTACATGCACATGTTTATCCATCATTTTATTTAGCTAGTAAAACAATGCGAATAATTTCAATTTATTCCTCTAATTCATAGCTTTGTTCCACAACTAGTTTCCTATTCGTATATTACAATGTCCTATAAACCGTGGCAAGTGACGATGGTTCTTTAACTTTTGAATGGTTTCAATCTTCATGAAAAAAATATATAAGAAGAAAGCCATCGTTTGTCTTTAAACGGTTATATATCGAAATTTCTGGACAGTACACGTTTACCCATAAGTTATATTGCGTGAACCGCTCCCTTATTAGATAATGTTACAATAGTTGAAAACATGCCATTTTTGTCGCATCTCATATGGTTTAAGGTGAATTAGCGATAATTCATTTTCATTTTATATATATAGCTCGTCGTTTGTGGCGTGATTACTTTTGGGAAGTTGACGGGATTGTATTTATCATCGATGCTTCAGACAAAGAAAGATTTCGAGAAGCGAAAAAGGAATTAGATGTAATAAGCTCAAGATCATTCTGTTCTTTTTGGCGTAATTGCATGGATTTGAATGATGATCATTTGTACTTAATATACTTATTTTTGATGAAATAAGTTAGTTATATATTAATATGAAAAATCAAAACACAGCTGTATCAAATTATACACCCTATTCTTACAGTGGTATATGATGTAGGACATGCGCGAACGATCAAGTGCATAATTGACTAGGTTTTAATGGGTTTCATTGGAGAAAAAAAACATTGTAGGAGCTGAACGTGCTGCAACGCCTGTATTTGTTTTACTAACCGGATTCTGATACTTTAAGGGTTTGCTTCGTGAGCCGATGACAGAGAAATGTCCTTTGCTCATTCTTGGTAACAAAATAGATATTTCAACAGCTGCCAGTGAGGAACATATTAAAGAGTATTTCAATCTCTACCCACATACAACTGGAAAGAAAAATGTGAGTCTCGAGAGCTTTTATCTCTAATATGATTGTAATACGGAAAGTATTCATAGAATTTTATCAGTAATTTATACTCAAAGTAACAATACTTCTGCTTAGTGCATGCTTCTGAGCTCCGAGCTTTTAGTCAGCAACTCCGCGGGTTAACCTTGAACGAAAGAAACACAAAGTGTATGTATGCATGCGCTCCTGTTGGGTCTGGGATTTGAGTGAGACCACTTCGAGTTTCAACTAACAGTGGAGATCTTTAGATGCTGATCTTAAACGCCTTCCTGTCCACACGATCCAAGGAAAAATATTATGCGTGATATGTTAAATTAGCTTCAACTTGTAAATTGACAGTGTTTGAAACCGTTTTGGTATGAAAACGTATGTGAAAACGCTCGAAAACGTTACCGCGTGTGCGCATAGCCTTAGGCTGCGTTCAAACTGAGTGCCCAGCACTGGTGCCCGTCACTTTTTCTGGCGCCCAGGTTGGATATGACGCTCCCAAATTAAATGTGCCTAAGGCACAGTGCCTAAGAACGGGCACTACATACCCTCCGGAAGTATCAACAAGGGTACTGTTTAGCAGGTTTTATATAAACCAGTTTTGACTTCGGTATATGTTATATATATATATATAAATTTGAAGTTTTTGCTTGCAAAAATTATCAGCTGATCATGATTAGGATTTAATGTTGTAATTTCTATCTTCATTAAATTCGATTACACTCCTCACATTTCCACTAGTAAAAAAAAAAAAAAAGCTTTTAAAATGTTTTAAAAAATGTGCGTTTCTTGATTTCTAATAGGAGAAATACGCAAACGACAGCAAAATGAGAGCGGTAGAGATATTCATGTGCAGTATCTTGAAGAAACAGGGCTACGGCGAAGGTAAATAAAATGTTTTAACTTAGCAATCTTCCGGTTCTTCCCGTACATGGTGTGGTTCTGCTTCTGACCGTTTGACAGCCATAAGTGCAGCTGTGACTAAACAGTATGAACCACCGGACTCAGAACGTTCTTTCCATGTTAAAATGCCTTGGAGAACATATTCCACATCGTGTATTAGGATTTTATGCTCATGCAATGTTCTCATGCTCTTTAGAGGAACGCAATGACATAGTCAGATATATTTTCTCATATGGCGTGACTCGTGATTTGCACTATTGTAAGAAATAAGAACTGCATGCAATACCGGCACATGACAAAAAAAATCGACGATGGTTATATTAGGTTCTATATATTAATTGATTCTCATGTTTTTGATGCTCTGAAATTCTATAATGTTTTGCAGGATTGCGCTGGCTCGCAGACAAGCTATGAAATCTTGGAATATACTACAATATGGTGTCAAATTTCAAATGCTGAGGACATGGTGTTGTTATGAGACATCGTGTTTTTATCCAATAATGAAGATCAAAGAGTATATACATCAAGAATTCTTTCAAAATACAGGCTCCCAAACTCACTGATTTAATTTGACCATCATTTGAGGGAGAAAGATAATTATTGTAAAACGACTTAAAACATGATAGCGGTATTTATCGAGAATATTTCTTATGCGTATTTCTTTGAAACAGGTACGCCTTTGATACAGACATACATCGTGTTATGCTTAGTTATATATGCTTGTAAAATGTAAATGAGTAAACCGTACTTCGGAAATTAGTACTGAAAATTCACATGATATGTACTTTGCATGCAACTATTCTATATATTGTCCGTATAATATTCTTTCTATAGAATAAAATATATAAAATTTGCATATCGAGACTGAATTAATTGTTGGGCTTTTAATCAAAGGGGGCGTTCCAAATTCAGTAAACACAATATCATTTTATTGGCTACATGTGGTATTGGCCATTTCGTCTTTCACTTATTTGGTGCGGGAATCGATGATTTTTAATAAAGTACACGTCGGGAAAATCTTTAGCAGTTTAGCTGTTATCAATTTTTATGCTTATTTAGTTCACAGTTTTGTAGGCTTATCAAGGTTTTATTTTAACAATCCCAGTTTGGGCCAATATCTGCAAGACTAATTAATTAGCTACTTAAATAAGTATGGGACAATAACGCTATATTCGGCATATTAAAAGTATGATCTGGTTATACATTCACGAAAACTTTCTCAGCTGCCGAGACTGGCTCTGACGTATTCTACCGCTAATTCAGAGGAGGTTTTATTGGAAATTTCTACCGTTGTCGTTGAACCGTCTTCATCCATTTTCATGTTCAGGTATGTTACAATATTACTAGACAGTATCATTGAGATCAGTGCATGGCATTCGTTATTAACATTGTGAGTCCTTTTTCAAAGTATAGGTCCTTACTTGATTGTCAGGGCATTTAAGTTACGAATTGTACTTTAATTTGTCACTCACAGAGCCTTCTTCATTCTGATTGGGTTCCTTAGTTAGGTGGCCTTAACTCGAGTTATACCTCATGCCTGTGGCAGAAATCCTAATTTTCCCCCTCTATTCTAGTTAGAGACCTCATTGGCTCTTTCCCAATAATAATACAAGACCTTTTTACAGGCTTGGCCGGAGCTATATGGCTATATTATAGAGACCATACTATATTATAGAGACTATAGAATCTACGCAGATATATTAGACCCCCATGCAATTTAGTAAGCTTGTCATGTAATTACTTGGATCGCAAATAGGCAATCTTGCATGGACATCGATTAGATTGCTAATTTGAAACTCAAATGCAAAGTTGAGCAGGTGTAATCTTGATTAAAATAATCCTTGAATATATTATCCGGTTTCTATAAAACTCTTAACTACATTTTGCGCAGTTAACTCGTAGTTAACAGTCAGAAATACTCAACTCTGATTGGTCAATTCTATGTTAACTACGTATTTATACAACCGCGGCCCCATGGTCTTTATCTGCCCTTTTTCTTTTACTTATATACAAGTCTTCCCCTTTCTAGAACTAACCGAAGATGCGATTAAGCAATATCTCAGAGTTTGTGGCTGCTAACCAAAGTAATCAGACATCATTCAAAACAGAGAAAAACGAACTTTGGTACACAAGAGCTGTTCTAACCATTCTAATTATTATCCTCTCCACGTTGGGCAACCTTATGGTTTTGGCTGCGATGTGGATCGAGAAAAGATTCCGTCAACCAAATAAATATTTTATTGCTTGTCTAGCTTCTGCCGATCTTTTGAACGCCGTTTTCTATAATCCATTTGTCTTATACGAACATATCAGTGAAACAGGTATTACCTCGATTCATCTTTGCCGATTCTTCATGTGGATTAACATATTTGCTGAATCAGCCTCGATTAATACCCTGACGTGGATAAGTTATGATCGATACCTTAAAATCAGCAAACCGCTGCAGTATAACGTACTTATGACAACCCAGAAGTCATTGATTGTGATAACTATAATTTGGACTATTTCGACTGCGTATGGTACATTTGGGATGTTTGCTTATAGTGGAAGCCGTGGCATCTATATCTCATCTCAGGGGTGTGCGATTCAGAATCCAATTTTTTTCACAGTCTCAGCGATATCGGCGTTTTTCCTTCCTACCGTGATAACACTGATAATGTACACTCGTATACTCTTCATTGCTCACAGGCGTCGGAAAAGAGCAAATGTTTTTTTGGGCGAGTATCACGTTAAAAACCATCGGAATTCTCTCCATGAAGATATTAGGAATATCCGTATGATGGCCATTGTTGTCGGGGCTTTTATCTTCTGCTGGGGCCCTTTCTTTGTTCTCACATTTTTTTCTGTAAACAAAGTACGGCCGCTTGAATACGCGTTGGAGTACGACATAATTGTTGTTGTAACGAGACACATTCTCCCGCCATTAAACAGCATATGCAACCCGATCATTTACGCTTGTTTTGACCAAAAGTACAGAGAGGCTTTTAAACATCTTGTCAACAGAATCCTGTGTCGCTGAACATCATTTTACACGACTTGATCCGAGGATATCATTTATAATTATGTGTCATGATGTGTGCCTGCGAAAAAGTCGGAACATTAACAGGCCATGCCCATGAACAATATTGTAACTTTGCAGTTTTCTTTAACATAACATTTGCATACGAAGTAATATAATGAAATTATACTGAGAAAAAAATTCAAGTAAAGTATTTATTGTTTAAAACGGCAGTCGTCGAGTTTTTCGTGTCCTATCAGCTTATATTGTCCTATTTGTGTTCCTACGTGTTTGTTATTCATTTAAACTTGTGCCGAGTCTGCGACATTTTCCTTCTTATTCGAGCTCTTCTGACACGAGGACGTTTATTCTTAGAAGTCTTTTACGCAGTTTTTTACGAAATTTGATGGCAGCGACGCTGTAAAGATGACATCTGGTCTGTCACTTCCTTTTATGGTATTGTTCCAATATAGACTATATACTAGCATTTTGTTAATTTCTTTGTTTACCTGTCTGCTTAAGGAACCCTATAGGCAAAACTCCGTTGAAACATAGTAAATATATTATTGAACGTTGTTGCGAGTTTTTATTAATTTTTTAATACTTCTTCAAGACACGATACGCCTTTTGGCTTATAAAGATATTTTAAGTTTGCATGTTTGGCAAGATAAATCAGGTAATCATGGTCACGGAAGCAAAGATGCAATAAAAATACTCTTCCCAAACTTTTCTTTATGAACTATAAGCAAACTTTCTCAATATATATTCGTTTTTGTTGTAGCTGCTATATAAACCATGCAAACTACGAATTTAAAAAATAGAGATTTTTTCAATTTTTGACTTGCTTTATAGGTGGTGTCAGTAACTTTGTGACCAAGCCCTTGCATGAAGTAAACAATTAACATATCCGCGGCCAACTTTATATCTAATTTTAATATACAATCTTCGTGCATTAGCCTAAATCTACTCACGCGATTGGTCAAAATCAATCACGTGGTTTCTTGTTGCATGGCGATAGATCATAGGAATCATAATTTATTCGCATTAATATCGTGGTTTATTCAAAAGACAGCCTGTAAGGAAGATTGGATCTTCAATGCAGCAATCAATGAACTCAGATTGTATATTAAAAGTGTTAGCCTTTAATGTTTGTGTTTTGTTTACAAATAAACGCACTTGCTGACGATACAATGAACTCGAAATTTCAGCGCGTGCATGGTCAACGCGTGCGTTTATTTGTGAACAACAGTCTCTAACCTTAAATATTTTCAAAAGTAGGTAAATACGTGACAGATTGATGGGGTATAAGCAAAACAACGTTTTGGTTGATGGCGTATAAGCAAAACAACGCGCGAGAATGACGAATTTTGTACTATTATCCTCTGTGCTATTATCGACGTGAACGCGAGTTTTTTTACGACAATAGAGTATATATGCATAACTTGTGGTCCCACGCGAAGGCGTTGTCAATTCTTACCGACGCCTTCAAATGAGGAATTTTCACGGGTTCTTGACGACTTGAAAGCAGCTGGAAACGTGATAACTGTTTGTCAGTTTATATGGAACTGCAATATCAACCAGACATCGAAGGTTTTTAGCACAATTGAAACGTTTGCATGATTATTTCAAAGCCATGGCAGCATAATTGATTTCCCGTAGCTTATTCCAAGCAAAATATTGACTGGCGACGTCAAGCTAACCGCGTGGTAGATCGTATATAAACTGCCTATTTACAAGCTAAGACATCGACGACGTTAACCAGCATGGAGAAAAACGCCATTTGGTACACAACGACAGTCTTTATCGTCATCATAATCATCCTTGCTACCGTTGGAAACCTGATGGTGCTGGCTGCGATGTGGGTAGAGAAAAGTCTGCGCCAACCAAGCAAATATTTCATCGCATGCCTGGCTGTCGCTGATCTTTTGATTAGCTCCTCCATTGTCCGCTCCTGTTGTATGAACACATGAGCAGAATGAATATTACTTCGATTCACCTTTGTCGATTTCACCTTTGGATTACTACATTTGCCGAGTCAGCGTCGATTGATACATTGACCTGGATAAATTATGATCGACATCTTAAAATCAGTTATCCATTACGGTATAACGTTGTGATGACGGCTAGAAGAACATTGTTCGTGATCACCATAATTTGGATTATCTCCACAGCGTATGCCACACTCGGGATGTTTCTGTTAACTTTATTCTTTAATGGTTTATTTCAATTTATATACAAACATAACAAACATGTGTTTTAAAAATCAGACGACATATTGTCTACGCTTCTTTTAACGTTTCTTTTGGTCACGTGTCCGATGATCTCTATATTTATGCTGAACTGTAATATTAATGTTAATTAGTACAACTGTTAATGTTAACACCCCCACTCAGACTCAACTTATCTATATGAAAAACTATGGTGAGTCTGACGTGTTCTTAATAGCCTAAAAGTACTTTTCGATGCTTTTCAACTTTCACTCTAGGTAATGATTTCGTAAGAATATCTGCTGGCATTTCTTCAGTTGGAACATAATGAATCTTTACTTCCTTGTTTTCCACTCTTTCTCTTATGAAATGTAATTTCGTATCGATATGTTTGGATCGTTTATGCATCACTGGATTGTGACACATCTTTATGCAGGATTGGTTGTCTTCGCCAATATCGGTTGGTTTCTTCATTGGTATACCAAGATCTTCTAAGAGTGCTCGTAAGTAGATAGCTTCTTGGACCGCTGCCGCCATGGCTTGATACTCTGCTTCTGCAGATGAAAGTGCGACGGTTGCCTGTTTCTTTACCTCCCAGCTAATGGCACCACCGTTTCCTTCAAATTTAAAGTAGTGTCCTGTGGTTGACTTGCGATCGTCGAGATCTCCACTCCAATCAGCATCTGAGTCACCAATTACATCAAGGTTTGAATTCTTTGAGAATGTTAATTGTAAATCAATAGTTCCTTTTAGGTATCGCAGGACGCGTTTGGCTGCTGTCCAATGTGATGTGTTGGGTTTATCTAAGAATCGCGACAATTGATTGACGACGTATAGGATGTCTGGGCGGGTTTGCTTGCCGATGAATAGAAGTGAACCAACTAGGCTTCTATATAGTTTAGGATCTACTAACTTTTGCTCTTCGTTGCCTTTAACTAGCTTTAGGTTTACTTCTCCAGGGGTAGCTGCTGCTTTGCAATCATTCATGTTGAATTGTTGAAGAACAGATTCGATGTACTTGCTTTGATCAACAGTAATCTTTTCATGTGATCGTAGAATTCTCATTCCTAGGAACCAATGTAATGCGCCACGGTCGTCCATCTTGAAATTTTCGTTCATCATCAACTTTATGTTATTCACTGTTTCCTCGCTCGCGCCAGCTACTATGATATCGTCTACCCAAACTAAGACGTACGTGAATGTTCCATCTTCTTCCTCTTTCACGAATAAACAGTAGTCGTTGCGGCTTCGCTTAAATCCTTTTTTCACGAGTAGGTTGGTCAACGATTCGTACCAATTCTTTGCAGCTTGTTTTAAACCATAGATTGATTTGTTCAGTTTGCATACCATCTTTTGTCCTGAATTAGCCTTCTTGGTAAAACCTTGTGGTTGCTCTAGGTAAACTTCTTCTTCTATCTCGGAGTGTAGGTAGGCTGACTTTACGTCCATCTGGCCGAGATACAAATCCTTTTGTGCTGCTGTTGCTAATAGAATTCGGAATGTTTCCGGTTTGCAGGTTGGAGCGTATGTGTCAAAGTAATCTAGACCTTCGACTTGAGCATAACCCTTGGCTACGTATCTTGCTTTGAATTTATCAACTTTTCCGTTGGCTCCGTATTTCACTCTATAGACCCATTTTCCAGGTAAAACTTGCTTGTTTTCTGGCTCGTTTACTAATGTCCATGTCTTATTGTCCATTAGTGAATCATACTCCGCTTTCATTGCTTTTCGCCAGTTTTCAGCTTGCGGCGAATTAACGGCTTGATTATATGACTTGGGCTCTTGTATGTTTTCATCTTTAGTAGTCGTATTGAACGTGTACGGTAATCCATATCTTTCGGGTGGACGTCGGTTTCTACTTTCTCTGGGGAGTGCAATTTCATTCTCTTCGTCTTGGTTTTCAATAACTTCTTGTTGATCTTGTACAACAGGTGCTGGTATATCAATTTCCCCCACTCTATCTTGGACCAGGTTCTTAGTGTCCTCGTTATTAGGTGTGTGGTCATCGTCGAAATCCATGTTGGGGCTCTCCACGATGGATTCCTCCGCATTCATCGTTTCTTTGGCTGAGAATGGTTGGATTTCATTTTCTTCGAATATGACATTACGGGCTTTGATGATCTTCTTCGAATCAAATTCTTGTAGGATGTAAGCTGTGCTTTTATCATCATAACCGATAAATTTAGCTTTTGTTGATCTCGAATCCAATTTTCTTAAGTTGATCTTTCGTTTCATGACGTACGCTGTACATCCAAAAACTCGTAGATGATTTCGTCTTGGGGCTTTTCTGGTAAAGAGTTCGAATGGACTTTTACCTTCTTTGCTGTTGGCACAAACGGTGAGGTTTCTGATATGAACTGCTGTAGATAAGGCTCTTACCCAATAGCGTTTTGGTAACCGTGCTTGGATCAATAGACATCGTCCCATTTCAACTAGAGTTCGGTTGAAACGTTCCGCAACTCCGTTCTGTTGAGGTGTTTCTGGCACAGTGTATTCTTGCTTTACTTTGGAATCTCTGCAGTAATTCTTAAATTGCTTTGATGTATATTCGGGTCCATTGTCGCTTCGTAATCTTCGAGGCGTTCCTGATTCTGCGACATACTCTTTGAATTTTTCCAGTGCTTGGGATTTTTTGCTCATAAACTTAACGACTGAATGTTTTGAGTATTCATCGATGAAGGTGATCGCATATCTACATCCACTGAGACTAGGTACTTCAAATGGACCAACAATATCAGTGTAGACGAGTTCATGCGGTTGTTGTACTTTGTTTTGAGACTCTTTGGGGACAGGTTTTCTGGATTGCTTTCCAAG